AAAAAAAAAAAAAAAAAAAAAACACCAAACCCAAAAAAGCCCCTGGCTAATTGCTGAGATGTGACTGAGTTAAAACAAACAAATGGAGTCCCCTAATGGTTTTAGAGGCTAGTGAGGAAGACAACCAAACACATGTAAAAACCAGATGGAAAAAAGAAAGTGTTATAAAAGACTGAAAAATAAGGACCTGATCCAGTTAGGGGTCAAGAAAAGCTTTCCGAGGAAGTAGTAACTAAGCAGAGACCAGAAGGAAAAGTGGGAATTATCTCAGCAAAGGGAGGGCTGAGGGGCAGGGACACAGGACCATGAGGCAACTTGTGGGCATGCTGAGTTACGTTGGATTTGAAATGTCAACAACCCAAGAAGGGATGTGAAGTAGAAATCTGTATTTTGGGTAAAACCTAGAAACACATCTGTGACTCATTAGCACTTAAGCAGTGATTAAAGTCCTAAGCATAAATGCACAAACCTGGAGAGAAAAAGAAAAAGATTCAAGACAGCTTAGAACTGAGCCTTAAGAAAGTTCAGCTTGCAAAGGGAAAAGAGAGGGGGTGGCCAGAGACCAAGAGAAACTGTGCTTCAGTGCTGCATATGGTGTTGAGGACAGACTCAGCCATGGACTGTACAAGGACCAGACTGCCACCCTACCAGCCTCTCATAGGACACACAGGTGTAGCTGTGCTGTCCACCTGAACACAGGCCTTAGGACACACAAGGTTTCTGTTCATCCAGGAGTTATCTGTGTGGGTCCATCTACCACCACAAAGGGCTAAATCTGAACTCCATCGTAATCTCTAATTATTGCCCAAAGTGTCCTCTGAAAACTTCCTGCATCCTCAGAAGGCTGTCGGTCACATGCCAAGATAGACAACCTCAAGAGAGCAGATACTCAAACATCTTCCAGAGTCAGGAGTATCTGGGCCACAGAGCAATAAGCAAGCACAGAGAGAACATGGGAGTCTTCCTGAGATGAACGCTCAGGAAGCCCAGAGCCGAGAGAGTCGAAAAAGCTCCTGAGGAGGCCAGGAGACCCACAGGAAGTGGCCTGGAGTTTTCAGAGTTTTGATCAAATGATGCTTATGGGGAAGTTCATGAGGCACTGGGAAGAAGGGTTCCCAAACCCTCCTGCACAGCTGGAAAGAGTTCAGCTTCCCCAACAGAGTAAAGAAACCTCAGAATGCATGAAGCATCAGAGTAATGAAGAACACTCAGAAGGATGTTATATTATCATCTTAGGAAGGAGGACAAATTAGTCCTACACTAACGCTGCTTTGGTCTGCCCAACAAAGCTTAAAAACATATGAGTTGACAGGATCAAATGGTTTCCAAGTGACCTAACTTCATTCCAGAACAAAGCAACAACACTTAATGGAATACCAAAAGCTCCAGCCCCAACAAACTACATACAAAGCAGCAAATGGGGGAAATACATCCAAAATGAAGAATACATAAAGCAAGAATGGTCAAGAGACACAAACCCAGAAATGACACAGGCAGTTAGACAAAGTTATAAACAGTTATAAATGAAACAGTTATAAATATACTCAGTATGATCAAGAGAAGGCAGAAGTAAGAACGTTAAGGAGAGACACGGAAGACAGAAAGACCCTAGTCAAGTTCCAGATATGAAAAATACAATGTCTAAGATGAAAACTTCACTAGACGAGACTGATAGGTTAGATACTGCTGAAGAAGAGAGCAGTGAACTTAAAGACACAGCAATAGAAACTATCCAGACTGAAGCACAAGAGAAAAAAACCACAGAAACTTTTAAAAAATACAAAAGAAAGTGGGGAGGGGAGGAATGAAGGTAAGGGGAGTGAAGGAGAAGAGAGGACACAAACCTGAGTGTTAGCAAATGAGAAATTTCAAGACCTGGGGCACAGAGGGATGCACATGTAACCCAGCTACTCGGGAAGCTGGAGCAGGAGGATCACGGGAGCCCACAAGTTTGAGCCCAGCCTGCCCAGCATAGCAAGACCCTCTCTCTTAGATTAATTAAAAAGAAAATATATATGGACTCTCAGAAGAAGGGCAAGCTGGACAGAAAATAATTTGATGAAATAATGGCAGAAAAACAGCTCAAATTTTATGAAAACTATAAACTCACAGAACCAAGAAACTCAATGATGAACCCCAGCAGAAGACAGAAGAAACCACAGTATGTCGTAATCATGTTAACACTAGTTATAAAAAATATAGTTCTTCATAGGCTATATCTTAATGATTTGGGGGGAAGGCTGTAATTTCATAAATAGATACCTAAAAGATATTCATTCTGAGAAGCACAGAATATAGCAGTGGTGGTGAGCCTGTGGCCAGCATGCCATAGCAGAGGCTGTTTATATCACTGAAAGCTCTAAGATGTTTGCCATCCCTGGAAGATAGGATTCAGTCTGAGGTCATTCTAGAAGATTTCCCCTAAGCAATACTTTTATTTTTTTTATTTATTTTTTATTTTTGGTACTGGGGATTGAACTCCAGTCCTTGCATTTGCAAGGCAGGCCACCGAGCCACTGAGCTAAATCCCCAGCCCTAAGCAATACTTTTAATATTGCTTTATTTTTTCATTTATCTTAAAATCCAATCAGAAAAATCAAACTCAAGTCCTACAAAGTTTTATGTATTGTGTACATATAATTAATTCTGTTTTTTTAACAGAGGTACATGATATGGTTTTCTAACAAAGTACAGGCTTTGAAAGCAACCCTGTACTGAACAGTAGCCTTATGTAAGCTCTCAGCTTTATTTCCTCATAATAAAACAGGAATAACATTTGACTTTTATTAAGTGTTAAATGGGAATGAAAAAGCTAATATATATAAAGCACCCAGCAGAGGTCTTGACGCACAGCGGGACCCCAAATTAGAAGATCCGATGTGCTTTTATGTAATAATGGCATTTTTACCTTCTCAAAGAAGTCATATGCATTGCAATTCTATGTACATGCTGTTCTTAAAACAAAGCAGACATTTCTTTAAACATTGTGGGTGTGGCTAAGAAATTAAGTGACTTACCTAAAAAATATAAGAGCATTTTGAAAAAACACAGCTAGTCCTGGATAAACATCAGTATCTGCACACACAAAGTAAAATGAATTAGAAGATCACAAATAGCAGTAACGAAGTTCTTGTGTCACTCATGCTCTATATATTACATCATACTATTATTTATCACCTCTAAGACATCTATAACAAAAATGAAATAATAAAATGTCAACTGTATCCTCCAAAACAAAAGACTGTTCACATTCTAGATAAAAGTCAATAAATGTTATCAGGTTTTCTTGTGTTATTATTTTTGTTTTTGTTTATAAAGAATTAGGTAAGAAACGAGCCAAGAAAACAAAGTACAAGAATTCCAGGGGCAGAAGTTGCTTCTCTACAGCTGATACAAAAGCCCCAATATTCGGAGCCTAGCTTGAATGTCTCCACTGGAACACCCTGTCCTGGGGGACCTTGCAGGTCCAAAGAATCTACTCCCCGCCCCCCAGCAATAAACAAGCTGTCAGATTGCTGGCACCTCCAAGTATCTACCAAGCCAGTGAGTGCCTGACCAGCCTGGCCCAACTCCATCCAACGACTCAGTCTTTTTGACTGTCGCATCTGCTTTTACTACGTGTTGCCACCTATTCTTCAATGCCACACAGTGGCCATCTTGTTTGTGGAAACTTTCGTCCAAAGCTTGTGTTGTCTGACTTGCCCGGGGCCCATTAGTACCCATCTGCAACTTGGCTATGGAGGTGCAGCCAATGCAGTACTTTCCCTTTGTAAATATGCCTCTCATGGATGCGAAGTAACTTCCACACAGAGAAGCAGACCATGAAGAGCTCTGTGAGTTTAGGCCTTACTCTGCTGTGACCTGGTGTTTCCTGTAAATGGTAAAGCTCTGTGGGTGCTGGCATGTCCCACAGGCTGCATCAGCACAAAATCATTACAACCCTGCAAAGAGAGGCATAGTTTTCCTTGCTACAGAATTAATCTCCCTAGGTGATGATGCAGTCCTGCATTGGCTTTCATAGGACATTGATTTTGGAAAAACAGGAGAAATACAATGGTCACCAGCAGTTCTTCAAAATCACAACTGATACGAATAGCACAATCAAGTTGAAAATTTTGCTTTATTGACTTGAGCTAAATGGTCACAGGTGGCAACTGATGTGGGAAGCAACTCCTCAATGTGTGAGAGAACTGTGATAGCCATTATGAGTTCCTAGTGTTTGACACCAGAATTGCACAGCTTTTTGCAGAAAATAACAATGTAACTATTTCCATGTGTTGAACCAGCAACAGAACATTTTCAGACCAGTGTTTAAAACTGCTGCATTCAGTTTCACAGAGAATAAGGCTGCCTGTCATGCTGAAAACTCTTCCGGTAACTGGAAGCTAGACACAAGAAGATAAATAAAAAGAAAGGCTATTATATACAGGGAACAGGCCAGGTGTGGTGGTGTATTCCTGTAATTCTAGCACTCTGGGAGGCTGAGGCAAGAGGATCACAAGTTTGAGTCCCATTTAGGAAACTGAGCAAATTACCAACAGCTTGTCTCGAAACGAAAAATGACAAAAAGCTGAAGAGGAAGCTCAGTGAAAAGGTTCCAATACTGCAAATAAATACCTATGACCATGCATACATACATACATACAGGAAACAGTTGCATCTGGTAGCACCAATGTATTTTAAAATAAGTCAAAAGTAAACCACTAGAAAAAATATATAGAGATGGGCATCTTTTGTATTTAGAAAGGAAGCATTTTTAAATAATTCTGAATTTTGTGTTTGCTGTGATTGTACTGTTGAAAAATATTAGCTTTTCTCCTTTATTTTCTGGTGCATGTGTATTTGGTTTTTGCTTTCTTTAACTGACAAGCTGTCTGGGTGGTCTTGGACTACTGCTGTCAGTGTTTTTCCCCTTCGTAATTCAGTATGTAGTGTTGCTGCAATTGTGTGTCTGTGTATATATTAATTTTTATTCATTCTAGTTTTTCATTAAATAAATTTTACTCTGTAACTCAGGATTTTTCTCACTTTTTTGTAGTTCTTTAAAGATAGCATTTTTGGTATGCATAATTGTGATAATTGTGTATGGTAAAATTTATGTGTTCAATACAAATTTTCTTTTCGCTCATTAATCAGTTCATTAGAAATATTTTAAATTCAGCTATTTTGTGAAGATGAATTCCAGAAAGAAAACACCAAAAAAATTATCAAAACCTACTACAGCTCCTAGCTGGTCTCTTTCTCATTGTCTATCACTGTTGCTTTGCAAAGGTCACCCCTCACACTAGCACACAGCAGTAAGTTAGCCTATCCTTCATAGGCTTGTGGCCTAGCATTTTCTTCTCTTCCTGGGCAATGTATGTTCTCCTGGGAATTTTCTTCCAGAAAAGGCCAATTTCATCACAGTTGAAAACTTGATGAAAGCAAAAGCCATTCCTCTGTGGTGTATGTAATTTTCAGCAGTCCATTTATCAGCACTGGCTGCTTCACCATGTCTAATTATGCTATGAAGCTCAGTCCTCACTTTTAAATTGTGAAACCACTCCTTACTGGCACAAAATGTTTCACCATTATTACTCATTGATGAATTATCCTTACAAGATTTGCATGTATAGACTATAGCATTTCAGATTATAGACTCATCTCCTTTTTATCCACACTCATAATAGCCTTTCTATCTTGTCTAACACTGTTGATCATGACTTACTAATTTGAGTAACACCTTTAGCAACACCTGCTTCCTTATACAAATCTTCTCTGTAACACTGTCGAGATGGTAGATTTCTACAGGCTGTACATATTAGCTAGATCAGTCACATGAATGCTACTCTAAAATTCCTCCACAATTTCCTTTCTTCTTTTCTATTGTGATTGCTTTCTTTACCTTCCCTTCCTTCCTTAGGTTCTTTTCTAGCTTTTGTGGGGGGGCTATTTTGATAGTAATCATAGTGATTATATAAAGCACTGAATGAAGTCAGGTCCACAAACTCAAGCATGTTACATATGCTTTGCTGGCATCGTCTTTTGTTTTTAACTGTATAAGCAGCTGGCATTGGTTGTAACTCAAACCTTTGGTCAAACATTAAAACTAAAATTCTGGTTGTAACCCAAGTTGTTCGTATATGAGGCTGGTCATAACTCAAGTGTTCACTGTAAATGACCTTGAATTTCAATATAGCTTAGTTTCCCATCTATGAAATGGGCCCATGACAGCACCTAGCCATAGAAAATGAGACTTAAATCAATGCCTATACATACTGCTTAAAATATGAGCAGTATTTTGTCCATTAAATGGTACATGTAGACTATACATTATTAGAAATGTTTTGGACTACAGTGTCTCAGATTTCATATTTTATTCAGATTTTGGAATATCTGGATATACATGATGAGATATCTTGGATATATGATCCAAGTCTAAACACTGAATTCAATTATGTTTCATTTATAACTCAGACACATAGCCTGAGAGTGATTTTTTTTTTTTTTGAGACAGGGTCTCACTATGTAGTTGAAACTGACCTGGAACTCACTATGTAGCCCAGGCTGGTCTCAAACTCACAGTGATCCTCCTGCCTCAGCCTCCCGAGTGCTGGGATTACAGGTGTGAGCCACCACGCCCAGCCTGAGAGTGATTTTATACAGTATTTTTAGTGCACTTATGTTTTGACTGAAACATCAGATAAGATCAGATGTAGAATTCCCCATTTGTAGCATCATGTCAGCCTTCAAAAAGTTTATGAGAACCAAGACCTGTCATGTAAAGGTACAAGATCCCAGTAATGAATGTAACTGTACTGTATACCTAGAATGTACCAATAAACTCAATAAAAAGAAAAAAAAAGTTTCTAATTGTGGGCCATTTTGGATTTCAGATTATAGATGCTCAACCTATATATAAATGGTAGCTGTTTTATTGTTTTGTTTTTTTTTTTTTTTTGGTACTGGGGATCGAACTCAGGACCTTGCGAGGGCAGCAGCAGCACTGAACTAAATCCCCAGACCTTGCTATTATGAATATTAACAGTTCAAGACAATCAGTGAAAAATTTTGAAACATGTGAGAAATGTTCTCTGAAATAAAAATATATTTATTTTAGAAGCAGCAAAGTATACATAATGACCAAAGCTGTTGAATTAGAAAGATGAGATACACAACTGAGAAGTTCCTCATTGTGTCCTAGTTCTTTAAAGATTCAGTAAAATACAGACCTTACAGAAATAACTTACTCCCGTCTTCATTTCAGAATTTGAAAGTCGGCATGTGTTGCTTCAAGTAATCTAATGCCATGGACCTGAGGCTATCTTTAACTTTGAGTTCCACCAAAACCTCACTCAGTGTGTACACAAACAGAAACCTAACTCAGGAATGTATTTTTTGTAAGACATAGCTGAATTTCAGCCAATCACAGGCATCCAGTGATCAGCCAGTATCCATATAAGACAAATGCTTCGCTGTGCCACGTCTAAGGCAAAACCCAGCTATAGCTTCATGTGCTCAGCCTATAGGAGAAGCTAACTCCTCATGCTGCTTGATCCAGCTCTGTGAACCTGTTTGCTTCTGATGCTGCCCAATTCAGGTATAATTTTTTGCTCAAAGAAACTTAAATCACCATTCCTATACAGATCTTCCAAGAAAATCAGTGGTAGTATCCCACTCTTCTTGAAGCCAGAGATAAAATGAACCAAAAACATATTTCCCTATGTGATTTACACAAAATAGGCAGGTCTATAGGGGCAGAAGTTTCATTTGTGACTATCTAGCACTGGGGAAGAGTGGGAGGGAGGAATGATTGCCTAAGGGGTTTGGAGTTTCTTTGGGGGTGCTAAAATGTCCTAAAATGGTTATGACAGTAGGAGCACAACTCTGAAAATATACTAAAAACTGAATGTATACATTTTTTTTCTTTCAGTTTTTTGAGTCAAGGTCTCGCTGTATAGTCCAGGTAGGTCTTGAGCTCCATGGCTGTGTAAGGAAAGGACAGGAGTCAGAAACTCTAGAGATGGCTGTGAGTACAGGCATTGTCAGTGGCTAGGACTCCCACTCAGGGCTGTTCTACTGCACAATGACAGGCTGTGTCAACAACCAGTGATCCTTCACACAGGGAACAGCTTCATGCTAACTCAGTAAGTACACTACATTTTACTTTGGGTGGATATAACAGATTTAGCTAAATACAGAAAACACACAAAGCTATCCTATGAAAGAAAGGAGGAACACATACTTACTCTGGGTAACATATGCCCCAAAAAGAATCCACATGGAAGCAATAAGTGACCCAAACATCAACATGAAACCAATGAAGAGCCAAACTCGAGCACCTGTGTGAAGAAGAGGCTTTGTAGTTTTGCTATTTTGCAACCCCATAATGTCTTAGGGATGCATATTACTAGAATCAGTATTTGCCTAATATATAGTATGCATGTCAAAGATAGTCACATATTTATACATGCCTGCCATTACAGTTAATAAATATTTAATAAGCTAAATGGAGTTCTAGACCATATCTGGACAGGAAAAATGAAAAAATTACCTTTTTACTGGCTAGAGAAATTAATACATGAGTAACTTCTGCAAATTCATTAGTAATTATTTAACTAAATTGGTTCATAAAATCCTAATTGAAAAAGCACCTTATTACACATTTTATAAAAATTGCTCTGTAAGCACCAAATGTACTTTAGGAACAAGAGCTTTCAAATGAACAAGGACTAACATATCCCCTTCCAATAAATGGTAAACTTCTGAAATCACATCACTGCTAATCTGAAATAAATAGGGCCATTCCTCATAAGTATATTCAGACTTTCCTAGCTGAAGTAGCCAACTGTACCACATCCCCTTTAAAAGCTCAAGGTCAACTCTAGAGTGTACAGGATTCTAGACACTCAATAATGTAACCATCTGGGCCCTGAAGCAGATTTACACATTTTTAGGAAAGCAGCCTAACACTTGTATCAGACTCTTTTCACAGGCATCTGATGGCCCATCATCTTATGGGCTCCACTGAAATGAAAATAAAATCCTAGGGCTGGGGATTTAGCTCAGTGGTTCTGCCACCTGCCTCGTAAGTGCAAGGTCCTGAGTTCGATCCCTGATACCAAAAGAAAGAAAAGAAAATCCTAGCCAATTTCCACATGAGAAAATGAAATGTGCATCAACTGCAGATAATCTGTTACTAAGCAAACAGAAACATGTATTTTAGACATCAGATATGTAAGAAGCATTGATTCACGTTCAGTGGGGTAGAAGAGCTTGAGAGAAACAGGCATCCAGATGATCTAAATTTTACTGTAGCACTTAAGCAGATCTCTAGGAAAACAAGGTCATGTTTCATTCCATGAAGAGAGACAACTTCTAAGATTATCCAATGACAGCAGGCAGGGGTGGCAGGTGTAATGGGGATCAAACCCAGGACCTTGTGCTTGCGAAGCATGCATGGGGCCACTAGGCTAAATCCCCAGCCCTAAATTATAGCTTTATTTAAAGTGAATAAAAGGAACTGGACGTGGGGTTTTTTTTTGTTTTTTTTTTTTGGTACCGGGGATTTAGCTCAGGACCTTGCACTTGCAAGGCAGGTGTGCTGCAACTCAGCTAAATTCCCAGCCCCATAAAAGAAACTGTTAAAAATCCTTATAATTATTTTCCATCATACCCTTTTTTTTTTTGGTTTTTTGAGACAGGGTCTTGCTATTAGTTCATTATGTAGCCCAAGCTGGTCTTGAACTAATGTTAATTCTTCTGCTTCAACCTCCCAGGTGCTGGGATTACAGATGTGTGCCACCATGCCCGGCGCCCATCTTATCCTTTATACATGGCTATACATGTTAAAACTTTCTAACAGAATTAAACAAGAAAACATTTATCTTGAAAAATGAGGATGCTCTTATTTGGCAAAAAATAAAACTAACATTTTCCCTTTTTTACTTTGGCTACCAGGAAACTCAGATTTAAGATTAATAAACAGTTAGAAGGATGTATCTTGTACTAGATTCTATGTACAATTATTTTTTTTCCACCTAGATCCTACACCTTTTGCAGATTCATTACCTAAGAGTATAATTTACAGTATATTTACTATTTTGATACTTTCCTACAAATTCCTCTGGGAATTAAATGAAGATAGTTTACAAATCAGCCATTTAAGTAATATGAAAGCTTAGTGTGACAATGCCTAACTGGACTATAGGACAGTTCCATCCTAACTTCTGAAGCCCTAGATAGAATTTGCACTATGCACCATATATAAACACAAATGTATAATTTAAGTGGGTGGGAACATTCACAAAATAAAATGTAACCATTATATACAGTGAGGATAAAAAGTACAGGAACCACACCAGGCCTGGCTGTTCATGCCTGTAATCTCATAAAAGATATCACATAGTTGGGTATTTAGCTCAATGGTGCCACCACCTCCTTTGTAAGCACAAGGTCGAGTTGATCCCTGGTACAAAAAAAAAAAAAAAAGAGAGAGAGACACCACATAGCACTGAACCAAAGGGACCAAATGGCTTTGGGCTGGGAACATGGATAGCAGGTAAAAGCAGTTAAAAGGATGGCCCTGGGGCAAGATGTGTTCTGTTCCACCACTTATTCTGTGACTTTGGGCAAGCTATTTAAAGTTTTCTGTGCCTTAGTTCTTGCATCTAAAATTGAAGATCTGTACCAGGAGAAGTGAAGTATGCCTATAATCTCAGCACTTGGAGAGGCTGAGGCAGCAAGACTGCAAGTTCGAGATCAGACTGGGCTCCACAGTGAATTCAAGGCTGACCTGAACTACATAGCAGCGCCTGTCTCAAAACAAAACCAAAAAGAGGACAGTGAGAACACTTACTTTGTAGGACTATTGTGACAAGTGAGTTAATGAGTTAATACTGTGACTCCCTCAGGGAAGTCTCTGACATACATTAAGCTTTCTAAAAGTACTTGCTTATTCTTAATCATCCTTCAAAATTCCTCTCCCACCTACTGCAAATTTCCAACTGCAACCACAAATCACTTTTTCCGCTCCTTGAAGGTTGAAAATAGGACTTCCCACACTGTACTTTTTACATTGGGCAATGAAATTAAACTGAGAACAAACTCCTGGATACTAAGAGAATGTGTTATAACCTAAAACAAGAAAAACACCATTGGATAGCAATTCAAAAGAATTTAAACTACAAATTAATCCATTTGTAGACAAGCAGCAAGTTTCTTCTAAACAACTTTGTTGCAGTCTGTGAGTGGCTACTCACATAACCAGAATTGAACGTGAGAAGCACTGCAGTCCTAATTAGACCCTTGCATGCCCCCTGCCCCATCACTGTGACTGTGGTGGCTACTAGTAAGGAACATTATAGGCCAGCATCATGGGTAAAATTAAGTTCATCCTTAGCACTGCACGGGGAACCTGGAGTCCATGACCCGCTTATTTCTAAATGGTCAAAACTGATCTAATCTATGGGCAACATAACATGACAAAATAGTTACTTGCACTTTCATTAAGGATTTAAATAAAGTTAAAACTTTAAAAAGTTAAAGCTAGGCATGGCTTGTAATCCCAGCATGCAGGACAGGAGGACTGTCAGAGTTCTAGGCCAGCCTGAGCTACACAGTAAGACCCTGTCTCAAAAAACAAACAAACAAACAAAATAAAAGTTAATAAAAATGTCCTTTATTATCATTAAGAGTCCTGAATAAGGACTCATAGGAGGCTTTTCTGCTCCACAGTCCCTATCCTGCCTGCATCCACCTGCAGCCCACAATGCCTTTACCTGTTCTTCCTAGACAGCCGCTTTCATAGCTATCACCTCTCACCTGTGCGTTGGACACAGCATTTATCCTGGAACAAAACAAAATCATTCAATGAGCTTCCATGCTTTTAAAATATTCACTTAGAAGGAAACAGATTATTTCCTAAATAAAGTCAAATTTAAACATATCTTTTATCAAAAATCCTACTGGGGACCAGGGATTTGGCTCAGTAGTTCCTCCGCCTGCCTCACAAGCGTAAGCTCCCCCCACCAAAAAAAATCCTACTGGATAGAAATATTAAATTAGTCTTTTTTCCACTAGAGTACAACCAGAAAACATACTTATTTTAAAAGATTTTAGCCAGGCGTGGTGGCACACACCTGTAATCCTCCCAGCACTCAGGAGGCTGAGGCAGGAGGATCGCTGTGAGTTCGAGACCAGCCTGGGCTACACAGTGAGTTCCAGGTCAGTCTCAACTACATAGTGAGACCCTATCTCAAAAACAAAAACACACACATACACAAAAAAGAGAGAGAGTGAGAGAGATTTTATCACTTGTCTCCAGAAATTATGGAAGAGCAGCCAATTTCTCATTTCTTCACCTATTTTACATGTATACCTCCCATTTTAAGGTTCTCGTAAGAGTTAAATGTGAGTTGGGAGTGTCATTCAACAGGAGACTCTGTAATACCTTGCTTAGTGTGCATAAGCCCTAGGCTCCAAAAAAAAACACAACAGGTTTTTGTTTTGTTAAAAGCCAAGTGATTTCTCTTAAACTCAAATGAAATTTACTCTATGGAACAAACAGGACCACTTTATTCAGCTTGTCTTTCCACTTCTGCTAGAGCAGAGCACACTAATAAGTATCAGGAATTGCCTTTTCTTAGCAGCCTGAATGGATATTAAGTACAGTGGCCCCTTGTCTTACGAACTCAATTCGTTCACAAGGGCTGGTTGTAACTCAAGTTGGTCAACTGAAGGTTCAGGCTCCTCTACACAGTCTTCAAAGTCTCTCTCCTGTAAATACGCAGATCTCAGTGTCTTTAGACTTTGGCCCAGGATTTCTCATTTAACCCCATACAGCTCCTTCCAGAAACCTTTAAGGGTTAAATCTGTATATGAAACAATCTAGAAGCACAAGGGGCTGACATTAGGGTCATAACTCAAGACATTGGTCATAAGTTAAAACTAAAACTCCAGCCATAACCCAAGTTGCGTATGTCAGGCCAGTCATAATTTGAGGGTCCACTGTACATAGTTTTATTTGCCATAATACAACCTTTCTTTAAAATTCCTGACAAAATAAAGATGTCATACAATCTTAATGTTTAATATTTTTTACAATTGTTAAAAAACATGCATGGAAAGCATCAAAACCCTTTCAGGAAGTGAAATAACTCATAAACCTAAAAGTGATTGAATAAAAAAGAAGAGTCACAGACCAATCTCATTTGCAGTAAATTCGACGTCCCCCCCAAAATAGGAACACAGAGGAGGAGCACATTTAAAAGGAAAAAAAAAAAAAAAAAAAACACCTCATGGTAAAAGCTCAGGATTTAGAAATGTAACTTATTTTATTAAACTTAAGATGCCACCAATTTGAAGATGCACCTTTTTGTTTTTAGTATTGGGGATCTAATTCGGGTCCTTGCACTTGCGAGGCATGAAGGGGAACCACCAAGCTAAATCCTGGCCCCTCACCATAATTTTCTAATACTACCAAAAAAGAAAGAAAAAAAATTATCATTATAACTCTGAAGAGACCACTGACCCTAAGATTCACCGTGATACTAACTCACTGTGAAAAAACTATACCATGAAACTAACAAAATATGCTAAATTACCAGTTTAACAAATAAAAGGAGAAAAGATACATGATAATCTTATAGATGCTAAAAAAGATGCTGTATTTGACTGAAGTTGGGCATGGGGTGCACACTTGTAGTCCCAATAGACGGGAAGCTAAGACAGAAAGATCATGAGTTCGAGGTCAGCCTGGGCTACATAGTGAGTTTAAAGCCAGCCTGAACTACATAATGAGACCTTAAAAAACTAAGCAAAAAAACTCAGATAGTTGACTAAATTCAACACTCACTCTTGATTAAAAACAAAAACAAAAACAAAAGCAAAAAACTTAACCAGTCATGTTGGTGCATACCTAAAACCCCAGTTACTCAACAGGCTGAGGCAGGGGAGCTAAAGTTCAAGGCTGACCTAGCCAATTTAGGGAGACCCTGTCTCAAAATATAAAAAAATGCTAGAGTGCTTGCCTAGCATACATGAGGCCCAGGTTCAACCGCCAATGCCACAAAAGCAACACCAATAAACTGAGAATACAAATGTGTCACATTAAAGAAGAATCCATGGATAACATTAAAGTTACTCAAGAAATCACTGACCATTAAAGGAAAAAAAAATTTCAATCTTCAATTGAGAATTACCTTATACTTACATGAAGAAAGCCAATGTGGAAAACACACCACAGGTGTGAAAAGTATGGTTCAACTGTTCCGGCTTAGGATAGACCACGGCTGCATCAATCATTATCCACCAACCTGTAAAAAACTAAGACAGGGGCCCAGAGATTTAGCTCAGTGGTTTTACCTCCTGCCTCATAAGCATAAGGACAGGAGTTCAATCCCCTGTACCAAAAAAAAAAAAAAAAAAGTAATTAAAAAAATAAGATACAGCCAAGACATGGAAACACTAAACTCTTCCTATAAGTGAAACAAAGCATTTCTACTTCTGAGTTTAGACACTGAAACACAAAACAAGAATCCCTTGTTTACTTGTTCTTTATTGTGGATGCGTCAAGTCGAAGTAAGATTCTGAAATCTGCTCTCAGTGCCAGACAAAACCATGCCTGTATTTAGCGATGGCTTCTTTGCTCCTTCATGCACCATAATTAGATGTGGAAGAAGCTCTCTAACCAACCTCCAACAAAAGCAACTCCCTGATTATCCCGTGCGTGTCTTCTCTCTGGATGGCATTCCTTTCTAACATCCTCAAGCACTTCTGTTCCCACAAATGCGATGAATGCTTACCAAGAGCCAGTGTCACATCTCCCAAACTATTTTAGACTGCTATTATCTCAGTTATGTCATTTAATACTGTTGAACTGACAGAACATGAGTTTGTAAAATGCTTCTAGTTCAACTCACAAACTGAACAGTTCCATATACATGGAACAGATACAATGCAGACAAGTTGCCACAGAATTTCTTAGACAAATAAAATGTGGGTGTGATGATTTCTTCTAAAGTCCCAATGGAACAGGGAAATATATAATCCTCATATTTAATATATTTTTAAGCAAATGTTTTTAACATTTGTAACCTAGCTAAACTCTTTGGTTGTCATTTATACACTGCAGGCCTTGATGAGCACATAGGCCAGGCACCAATGAACTCTCCCCCTCCTTCAGCCACCTACCAATGACCACTGAGTTCAGTGTTAGGGTTCCTCTGCTCCCTACATCCACTTCCGCACTGTAGGGCTGGGATCTAAAATGTCCCCAAATGACTCACTGTGCTGAAGACTTGATCACCCATACAGCAGTGTTCAGCGATGGGGCCTACATAGGAGACTGGGTCAGGAGGGCTTTAACCTCATCAATGGATAAAATGATGAGTTCATGGCTGAATGGGCTATGAGCCAGTGAGGCCCAAGAAGGCAACAGATCACAGGGACACTGCTTAAAGGATGTGTCGGGACCCAGCCCCTTTCTCTAGCTCTTTCTCTCAGTCTGTCACCCTCTGCCACACCCTTTCACCGGGCTACAGCAATGGACCCATATGATCAAAGACTGAAACTTCTGAAACCTTGAGCCAAAATAAGTCTTTCTTCCTCTAAGCTGTTTTTCTCACGTATTTTGTCACAGTGATGAAAAGCCAGCAAACACAGGTGCCCAAGAGCAGCATAACATAATGAAAAGACACTGCCCTGGGCAGGAGAACTGGGTGGAGACCTCCTGTTGGGACAACAGAGTTCTTGTCAGCACTGTGCAGACAGCAGGTGGCAGGGAACATGGAGACAGAACTCCACCCATCTCATCCTTGGCCAAGGCACTGCCCACACCCCTTGTTGGAGGCCAGAGTATCCCCAATGAAGAGGCATCCTGGGAGACTTAGGATCCTCACTCAACTCTGGATTATGAGCTTTGAGGAACAGTGCCCCTGCTACAACAGGTCAAACTGAATAGCTTGGCTCTCCAGAGATTTTCAAAACCATGTTCTTTTTCACTTGTTTGTTTTTTGGGTTCTTTGGCGGGGGTGGGGGGGGATCAAACTCAGACCTTATGCTTGCAAGGCAGGTGCAGCGCCACTGAGGTAAATCCCCAGCCTCTCAAAATCATGTTGTTAAAAACCAAGCATGAGGGCCGGAATTTAGCTCAGTGGTTCCCCCACCTACCTCGCAAGCGCAAGGTCCTGAGTTCGATCCCTGCTACCAAAAAAAAACAACAACAAAAACCCAAGCATGATAGCCAGATGTGGTGGCATGTTCCTATAATCCCAGCACTCAGGAGTCTGAGGTAGGAAGATCAGGATAGCTACAAGTTTGAGACCAGCCTGGGCTACATTTAAAAAAATGCATGAGGCCAGTCCCAGGATTTAGTTCAGTGGTGCCATGACTGCCTGGCAAGCACAAGGTCCTGAGTTTGATTCCTGGTACCAGAAAAATAGAAACAAACAAACAAACAATGCGCAAAAGGCTTCCCAACTTTTTTTTTTTCTTGCTACCAGGACCTTACACTTGAGAAGCAGGAGGCAGAACCACTGAGCTAAATCCCTGGCCCCCTCCCAACTCTTTACAAGGTGAAATACAGATAAAGTTAAAAGCGATTTAATGTAAAAAAGCCACACACTAACCTCATTTGAGGTCACTTCTGCCCTCCTCCCAAATATTAATGAACACAGTCAAGAAGCACATTATTAAAAAAGAAAAGAAACAAATCTAAAAGAATTCTTCATTCAGACTTCACAATTATCTTTAGTTCTTACTTTGCCCTACTTTATTTTGTTTTCTTTTTCTTTTTTTTCACTTTGGGTACAGAACTATACACTGACAAGAATGAATTCTTAAGATTGTAAAAGATGCCAAAACTTATTTCAAAACATGCAGTGGGGAACAGGTAGTGGCTGATAGCATGATAAAGCAACACTGGTTGTAATTTGTTTTTGCTTTGTTCTGTTTTTTGAAGCTTGATGATAAATTTATGAGGTCGGGGGAGAAAGGATCTTTTTTTTTTTTTTTTTTTTTTTTTTGAGATGGGCTATATAGTTCAGGATGGCCTAGAACTCACAGTGATCTTCCTGCTTCAGCCTCTCAAGTACTGGGATTACAGATGTGTACCACCAGGCCTGGCGAGGGATGACCTTTATACCATTCTCTATTTTTATTTATATTCTTAACATTTCCAGTAACAAAAAGAGAGAGTTTAAAGAAGGAAGAAAATGACAGGAGGAAAACTGAATAGCTTCCTCCACAAATTTCTTCTGCTGCTGTTACCTAGTGCTGAGGTAAAGGGAACCACGACCCTATGGTCTCCCAAGAGCAGCTACAGAGCTTCCATTCTAGTGAAGCCTTGGATGCCTCTGCTGTCTACACATCTTGACCTTTAATGAGGCACAGTACCTGTGTGTTACAGCAAATTCTGAGCCTTTGAGAATCTTCCAGTGCTTACACATATATTGTATCATCAGATTAAAACCATAACTTGCTATCACTAGAACTGAAGAAAAGGTAGTAAATTTAACAAATTTACCAAAACAAACCCAGGGTCCTCCCTGTCCTGGAGTAACAGTATCTAGAATCCTGAACATTATCTATTCAAAATAGCAGTGAGGGCTGGGAATTTGGCACAGTGGTTCTGTTGCCTGCCTTGCAAGCACAAGGTCCTGAGTTCGACCCCCAGTACCAAAACAAAAAGCAAAACAAAACAAAAACAGCGGTGAAATACAACACCTGGCAGGGTTTTCACAGTTCAAGGGAATCAACACTAATTTCCAGAGCAAAACATGAGCCAAATGTCACCATTAAGGTTCTCTCACTTACCAGTATGCCTGCGACCACAGAAGCCACAGCATTTCTCCTCTCGCTCCAGTCAATACACTCACATTCTGGCCATCGGAAATTATCTAGGAAGCCTGCCATTCTTACTCCTTAAACACAGATTTTTTTTTTCAGTAAATACTGTATCCTACAAACAAACAAAAAAAAGCAATCAAAGTAAGGAAATGTTTTTCTTTTTGTTTTTTTTGGTACCGGGGATTGAACTTGGGTCCTTGCGCTTGCAAGGCAGGCCACCGAACCACTGAGCTAAATCCCCGGCCCCCTTAAGGAAATGTTTTTAGCAGTGAAATATCTAGCTGGGCATGATGGTACATACCTGTAATCCCAACACACAAGAGGCTGAGGCAGGAAGATCACCACGAGTTCAAGACCAGTTTGGACTACATAGTGAGACCTTGTCTCAAAAAAAACAAAACAAACCAAAAAAAGTTCAAGCCCAGTCTCAAAATAAAATACATTTTAAAGGACTGAGCATGTAGCTCAGTGTGAAGGAAGTGAAATATCTTACTTTTTTTGGTAGTACTGGGAATCAAACCTGGGCATTCTGTCACTGAGCTACATTCCTAACCCTTTAAAAAAAATAATTTTGATACAGAGTCTTGCTAAGTTGCCCAGAGGGAACCTGTCATCCTACTGCCTCAGTCTCCTGAGGAATTAACAGACATGTGCTACAATATACACTTCTTATTCCTCTCTTAAAGCTTTAAACTATTTTAGGTCCTATTCTACTAAAATTAAGAAAAAAATCAGCACTTCAGTAAGTACCTACTGCGATGTATGTAGGACTGTGCTTAGACACAAAGGCAGCTTGCTATCAGCTAGGATTTCACATCTGTCCATAGGGGCTAGAGGAGCAGCTCAGTGATGGAACACAAATGCAACCGCAAGGCCTGGAAGTCAACTTCCTGAACCATTAAAAAAATAATCCTTGGGCTGGGGATTTAGCTCCGTGGTTCCACCGCCTGCCTTGCAAGTGCAAGGACCCAAGTTCAATCACCAGTATCAACTTCATCATCATCATCATCATCATCATCATCATCATCATCATCATAATTAATAATAATAATAATAATCCTTGACACTTTTCCCACTGACAGGTGGAGCTATGTCCTACCACTTAAGTTGGAGTCAGCAAGAAAGACGTGTTGACCAAAATAGAGGAATCAATGCTTTGTGACTTCTGCCAGGCAACTCTCAAGATCAGGTCACAGAAGGCAATGCAGCCTCGTTCTCTGGAACAGTAATTCTAATGTCTGAGTCACCAAGCAGAAATCCAAGGTTGCCGTTCTGTGAGACCACATACACGTGCTCTGGCCCAGTTTCCTTTCAGTCTCAGCCAACAGCTACCATCAACTGCCAATGCATGAGTAAAGACACTCCTAGGTGATACTGTCATAGCCATGGCATCCGCCCCACACTCTGAGCCTTCCTGGGTGAGATGCCAGGGGTACAGCATCATTTTGGCTGTGCCCTTCCCAAATGATTGACCCACAGAATCCAGTAAACATAATAAAATGACTGTGTTAAGCCACTGGACTCTGAAGTTAAATCCATATTGTAGCAATAGGTCACAAAGGACAAAAATGACAGAAATAATGGGAATAAAGAATGACAGGGCTATCGCTTCTCGGCCTTTTGGCTAAGATCAAGTGAAGAATGACAGGGCTGGGCGTGGTGGCATGCATCTGTAAAAACAACAAAAAACAAAAATGAACAATAAAAAGGTGGTATATTACGGGAATTTTTTAAAACAAAGAAATTACGGGGCCAGGGATTTAGCTCAGTGGTTCCGCTCACTGCCTCACAAATGCAAGGTCCCAAGTTTGAGCCCCAGTAGCAAAAAAAGAAAAAAAGAAGCATTAAGAAATGGGTGATTTAGAGCTACCATTAATTCTAAAAATAAATAAATATAAAAACTATTTAAAAGTACTGAGGAGTACTAAAAAGCTGGCAGAATCCAAAGGGGATTTGACCCTGAAAGAAGGACAACACAATGAATCGGATCCATCTTTTTTTCTGAGGGGGGACAGTTTTGCTTTGTAACTCAGGCTGGCCTATATAGCCCAGGGTGGCCTGGAACTCACAGCGATGCTCCTGCTCAGGCTCCTGAGTGCTAGGATTGTAAGTATGCACCACCACACCTAGCAGGACCCACTTTTATATAGCTTTCCCTCACTTCCAAATACTGAGAATCCCTGTGGTACAAAGTGGCTAAAATTCAAGCAAAAATTCAGTCATAATGGCCTCAGATGTCAGAGGATGGAAGAGCTAGAAATTGAGAGGGGAAATCATGGCTAGGAGTGGGTCACAAGAGAAAACCCCAAACACTTTAAATAACCTTTCAATTCCTGGCTCACCCCAGAAAACAGATGCATGGGAAGCCTGGAAACAAGAAAAAGAAAAGAAGGATGGGGATTTAGCTCAGTCGTGCCGCTGCCTGCCTTGCAAGCACAAGGTCCTGAGTTCAATCCGAGATACCAAAAAGAAAAAAAGAAAAAACAGCTGATGACAAAGGCAAGAATTCCAGCTGCTGCCCAACACAAAGATATTTTTCTGGTTGAATTCCTCCAAGGCAGAGGGGACTTTCCAGACATATTCTAACAAAGTGCAAAACCAAGTCCCACAATTTCAAGGTTATCAGTCAACACTATTTTAACTACCTGTTAAAACAAAAAGCAACCTGGGAACATTTGATCAAGATATTCTGCAGACACATTAACATTAATATTAACTGGTTAAAAGCAAGAATAAGTAAAGTCACTATGAATTTAAGATAATGGTTCAAGGTTAAAACAGAGTGAAATGCATTTCACTTAATCTATTATAACTAGTTCTATAAGCAGAAAATATATAACTATTTCCACACACTGATTTATGAAATAAATTGAAGTCTCCCTCTTTCAGGACTTCAGCTGGGTAGGTCAAGGACAGCTTGGGCAAAGGAACACTGTAACATATTTATATAAATAACCACTATGAGAGAAATGTACAGGATCCTGACAGAGAACAAAGGAAAGTCCTATTTTAATATGGGAGGTCATGAAAAGCTTTTTTTTGGAGACAAGAGTCTCGCCATGTAGTTCAGGCTGGACTTGAACTCACAGTGATCCTCCAGTCTCAGACTTCCAAATTCTGGGGTTACAGGCATGCGCCACCATGACCACCATGAAAAACCTTTCAAAGAGGTAAATTCTTCTTTTTTTTGGTACTGGGGATCGAACTTGGGCCCTTGCAGTTGCAAGGGAGGCAGTGGAACCACTGAGCCAAATCCCTGGCCCAAAGAGAAAGTGGTTTTGGGGGGGGGGGCGGTCTTGAGCTTGCAAGGCAGGTGGCAGAACCACTGAGCTAAATTCCCAGCATCGAAGAGGTAAATTCTGTTAAAATCTTTAAATGTTTTGAAATGTAAAAGCTCAGCAAAGTTAATCAGATTAAGGAGATGCAAAAAGGTAGAACAAGGAAAAGGAAAATCATATCCAACACCTCTTAGTCCTTTTGGTTCCAGAAAGGAAGAATCAGCTGGTAAAAATAAAAGAAATTAAATAAGTGGAACAAATGGCCTGGACTGAAACTGGACAAAGGGAGCTGGGGTATAGCTCAGTGGCACAGCATTTGCCCAGCACACACAAGCCATGGGTTCAATCCCTAGCACCACAATCGATCAGTCAATCAATCAATCTGGACAAAGACAGGCAAGCACAGACCCCATTCAGGATTTGCCTTTACTGAGCTGGGGATTTAGCTCAGTGGGGCCGCCACCTGCCTCGAAAGCGCAAGGCAGTTTGATTCCCGGCACCAAAAAAAAAAAAGAATTTGCCTTTTCACTGGGTGTAAGGGGAAAATAACTGAAGAACTTTAAGGAAAAAAGGGAACAAGACACCAAGAGCCCAAGCACTACAGTAAGCATTTAGGAGTGGAAAGTGAGGGGAGAAGGTTACTGTACAAAGAACACATACTCTCAACTCAGAAGACTGACCATCATGAAGGTTTTATTATCAATATTTACCAGAGGATAAGCCTATGTTATCATGACACAGTTTTGACTTAACAGAAACTTTCAATACTAACCCTCACTCTTGCCTTAAAGTGGAAAAATAAATACAATATTTAATATAAGAGGCTTCTGGAGACTTAATGAAAGCAAAGACTACTTTGATAAAATCTAAATGTACAACAATAGAACAAATGTTTAAGTAAATTAGTTTACTTAGTGAATTGAAAAATCGAGTATTTAAAAATATTTAATGGTGAGGTGGGGATTTAGCTCAGTGGCACTGCACCTGCCTTGCAAGCACAGGTCCTGAGTTCAATCTCTGGTATCAAAAAAAAAAAAAAAAAATAATGGTATGAGAAAGTGGTAATGACTGGTATTAAGTGAAAAAAGATTTATAAAGGTCTGGGGATTTGGCTCAGTGGTTCCACCACCAGCCTTGCAAGAGCAAGGACCCAAGTTCGATCCCTGAAAAATATATATAAAAGTATATCACATTTCCATTTTATAAAAAATAGTACTTATATATAAACACAAATATATATAAAAATGACAAGGAAGAACAAACATCAGTACTACTGTCAAACTGTTAAACACCAGTAGGATAAAGTGTTTGTTTTTGCTTTTTCTTTGCATATTTGTTTTTTTAATGCAAAGTTTTAAATTGTTGTAATTAACAACAGAACTTTTTTTCTTGTTTTGGTTTTTTTTGTTTGTTTCTTTGCTTTTTGAGACAGGGTCTCACTCTGTAGTTGAGACTGACTGGAACTCACTATGTTAGCCCATGCTGGTTTCGAACTCACAGCAATCCTTCTGCCTCAGCCTGCTGAGTGCTGGGATTACAGACATGTGCCACCATGCCTGGCTGTAATTAACAATGAATTAGGGCCAGGGATTTAGCTCAGTGGTTCAGTGGCCTGACTTGCAAGCACAAGAACCCGAATTCAATCACCGGTACCAAAAAAAAAACCCAAAACAATGAATTAGCTCATTCTTCTTGTCTGCATCCTGATGAAGAGACCTCATGTATAAAGTAATACATCAGAAATTACATTTTATAAACTTAAATGACTTTCCAAGGTCAAAGAAATTATCAATACATTCTCCCACAAAACTGACCCTGGCACCAATTTAAAAAG